AAAATAAATAAAAAAAGATATAGATTTTAGGAAAAATTTGCAGGTAGTCGAAAATATCAATAAATTATAGAAGAGTCAAAGGGTCTTATGAATATTCGAGAATAATGCATGGATCTTTCTAGCAGTCTGAGCGGTCTGCCGTCTTAAGAGGTATCTTGTGCGTGTTCCAGCACATTCTTGACTCACTGTGGCTTAACAGTTTGCAGCTCAAGTGTTTAATTACTAAACTACTTCAAGTGTTCAACAATGCTGAAAGCAAAACCCATGAAAATTATGAAACATGAATTGTGAGCATCGAGCTGTTAGACTGTTAGACTAGTAGACCGTTATACCGTTATACCGTTATACCGCTAGGCGTGACACTTCATTCCAGCCGCACTCTGCAGGCAATATGCGGACAATTAGTGCTTTGAGCAGGCTAAATAGAGCCAAAGTCTCAGATGCACTTAACACAGTGCGCTCTGTGACCTTCAAGAGAGAAAACACCTCCGCTTTTGGGGGCTCCAATTACATACATATATACATGTATGTATATCAGTTGTCTGACGACACGTGAACTCCTCCACAGTTGCTTGATTTGCTTGAGCCTGCTCGAGCGGCAGGGGGGCGAGGGCATTACCACAGCTGGCACCTCGCCGGAGCAGCTGCCATTGCCTGTCGCCAGCAAGATGCCTTTGATAACCAGCGAATTCAAGGCCAGCCGCATCTACGAATCCTTTCGCGCTCTCTCGACCGTCCAGGGCAAGAGTCGCCTCAGCCGGCGCTATGTGAATGATACGAGTGCCTATGGCGCACAGCGTAAGGCCCGGCCACGTACAGCCTCGGCGGACATGCTAAGCCGGAACATATCGAGCATTCTGGAGAACCTATTGAAGCGCTACGAGCAATCGCAGCTGCCCACCCATGGCCAGGGCCTGCCGACGGTGGTGCGCACCAATATCCTGATACGCAGCATGGGACCCGTCTCGGAGCTGGATATGGACTACTCAATGGACTGCTATTTCCGTCAGTATTGGCGCGACAAGCGGCTGAGCTTCCAGGGCCCCATCAAGAGTCTGTCGCTGAGCATCAAGATGCTGGACAAGATCTGGCGACCCGACACCTACTTCTACAATGGCAAGCACTCGCATATCCACACGATTACCGTGCCCAATAAGCTGCTGCGACTGGATCAGGATGGTGGCATACTCTACTCGATGCGGTACGATTGGGGCTTTGCGCATCAAACGGCAGTTCCTAACGCTCCACTGTGTCTTTGCAGTCTCACCATCAAGGCAACCTGTCCCATGGAGCTGAAAAACTTTCCGATGGATCGCCAATCCTGTCCACTTATCATCGGCAGCTGTGGGTAGACGCCTCTGCCTTGCCCTTGCCTCCCTTTGCCACTAATTCTTCCTTGCAGATGGCTACACCAATCAGCAGCTGGTCTACGAGTGGCAGAACCACGACGATGCTGTCTCCTTTGTGCCGGGCATGACGCTCAACCAGTTCGACTTGATCAGCATGATGCATCGCAACTTTACCTCCACGCGCCGCGAGGGCGACTTCAGCGTGCTGCACGTGGCCTTCAACCTCAAGCGTCACACTGGCTACTTCTTGATACAGGTGAGCCGTATCTATACATATATACATATATAGTTCCCCTCTTGATTTGCTCAGTCTGTGAGCTGTTCAGGTCTATGTGCCCTGCATATTGATTGTGGTGCTGTCGTGGGTCTCCTTCTGGATACATCGTGAGGCGACCAGCGACCGGGTTGGCCTCTGCGTGACCGCTGTGCTCACTCTGTCCACCATCAGCCTGGATTCGCGCACCGACTTGCCCAAGGTTAAGTACGCCACGGCCCTGGACTGGTTTCTGCTCATGAGCTTCCTCTATTGCATTGCCACGCTGTTGGAGTTCGCTGGCGTTCATTACTTCACCAAATTGGGCAGCGGCGAAATACCCCGCATCGACGATGAGTGGGAGGACATTGGAGCCTTGGGCTACTCCACGGGCGAAATTGCCGACGCGGCCGAGGCCAGCGACGACAGCGAGCCGGCCAACTCCGATAGCGATGTCTTTGTCTTTGCCGATCACGATGCCCTGCACTGTGAGCTGCCCTTGCCGGCGGACCTCAACGGCGGGGGCTACCCCAAGCGCAACACCTTCAGCTGCCCCATTTACAATGTGAGTTGGCCCAGTCAAACATTGCTGCAGTCCCATTTGCAACTCAATTGTGCTCTGGCTTTGCTCTAACTTCTCACTAGAATCAGCAGCAGGAGCCCGCTCACATCTTTCCAAGACTCTCCTCGCACGCCTCGACCATGGAGCGCACCACCCAAACGGAGCCGCCCGCCGTCTCCCGCATGCGTCAGATGTGGCTCTGCCTCAAGGGCGATGTCAAATTTCGCCGGCAGCGCGAACGCGACGCCGCTGCCGAGAAGAGCGTCCAGGGACGCCAGGGCGCCGGCTATGTGAACAGCATTTCATTGATTGATCGAGTGGCGCGCGTTGCGTTCCCCATGACATTTGCGCTGTTCAATTTGCTCTACTGGCTGGCCTACGGCATGTACAAGAAGGAGTTCTCCTGGTCAATGATTAAGGCCTGAGCGGTAGCAGGCGACAACACAATGCTCATACATATAGATGCCTGATGTATCTTGAAATTATTCAAAGTCCATTTTGTTTTCCATATTCAAATAAAGTTGTGCTGATATAGTCGATAAATATAGCCAATGCTTATGAGTTGACAAAATGTTTTTATTCTTAATCAGGTGGAGCCAGAAAGTGCAGATTTTTTTCCGACTGGCCGTGACCCTAATTGATATACAGTAGAATCCGATTATAACGACGCCCAAGGGACCGTCGTTATACCCAAAAGATATAAGTTTGTTCATACAAGATTGTCTGGGGATCCGAATTTTCGTCGCAATAACCGTGCGGACGCTATAAGCGGAGTTGTTATAATCGGATTCTATTGCATATGTCCATTTATGAGTTTAGATCAAAATTAATTTTATTTTTAGTATTTAATCTGCTCACGGATGTAGATATAATATATACATATAATATATACAGTGGAAACCGGTTATAACGACTCCGCCTAAAGTGTTACACCGTTACGTTGACGAAAAGTAGATGTTTTGCTTGGTCCCCATACAAACATACATATATGAAAGAGCATCCGCTTAGTACATTTCCGTCCGTCCCTTGAGCATCGTTATAACCGGATTCCAATTTATATACTTAATATACCAAATTTAAAGACTTTTGTTTTTAGACTCGCGGAGGGTGGAGGGTTCGACGTACGGACAGTATGGCAGGCATTGCAGAAAAGAAATATACTCACTTCCCCAATTTTCAAACATCTTCATTTGATTTTCTCATTTTAGTCAATTTTCTTCTTCCAACGATTCCAACGGTTCTTCAATCTGAAACAAACAAAATTCCCGATCCCAGCCCATAGGCAGTAAAAATGCAATTTGTGTAAAATATGTAAACCATTTAAATAACATTTCTAAGAAATATACAGTAAATGATCTCAATGATATTGTGAATATTGTGAATAATTATGAAAAGCACTTGATTGAACAAGAGTGAAATTATTCGCGTCACATCGAGCTGCTGCCTCGGATCATCGTTGATGGTCCTCAATGCTAATTATGTCGCACAGCTCGTGCTAATATATGTGGCCAAATGCATACCAATTCCTTGTACAATTTGGCTAAACTCGTACTTAATTAATCTGTACCTAAATTTTCAAATTACCGGGAACACAATTACTGTGATTTACCTAATGTGAATAGCAATACTAAACTATATATATATTTTTTTTTTATATATATGTATATACTCAAATGTGTGTGTGTGTATGTGTGTGTGTATGTGTATGTGTATATATCGCATATGTATATGTTGCGGGTTTATCATTCCATTTATATAAATTGGTCAATGTCAATATATGTATATATATATATGTATATACCATATACTAGTTCATCAGTGGGAGGGCAGCAGGTGGTGGCCGTGGAAGGGGCAATGATACTTGGCTAAGTACAAGTTACTAACACTTTTAGCCGCATCTAATTATTCTAATATGTAGAAGATCCAGTAGCCGAGATTGAAAGCACAAAAGCTAATCGGGAATATCAAGCGGGAGTACTTGTCGATAATGTTAACATCTTTGATTTTCGGTATTGTCGCCCTAATGGCCGAGGCGCTCTTCTTAATGGCGTGCATCATGCGTGGACGCGCTGAGATGCCTGCTGAGAGAGAGAGAGAGAGAGAGAGAGAGCAATTCCAAGAGAGGCTGTTAGCAGTTAACACTTGATAAAATTCTTTATCCCACTTACCTCTTTGGCCGCGATGTCTTAGCTGGCTGCGACCTGTTCCATAGTTGCGTGTTATGCGAAAACTTGGCGGAAACTTGGCCAAGTCCATGGTCTCGGTGCCGATGGAGCCGAGGGTTACATTGTAGTTACCTTTGCGCAACGAAGGTATAGGACTCATGCGTACATCCTGCAGCTCAATAATGTCTTCTGTGGTTGAACACGTTTCGGATTTCTCCAATTTACCTGCCAGACAACCAGAGACAGAGACAAAAGAAAATATTACTGAAATACTCACTGAGATATTATAGTAGATCATCGTAGGCTGATTTATGTACCTATTTTATGTCGATCACAATCCTTCAGCTTTTTAATCTTCTTCTTGGCCCGCTTGCCCCAGTACGTATAATTGACTGCGGCGTATTCGAGCAGCGCCGCAAACACGAACACAAAACACATCACCAAATAGATATCGATGGCTTTCACGTAGGAGATGCGGGGCAGCGAGCTCCGCACACCGGTGCTGATCGTCGTCATCGTCAGCACGGTGGTGATGCCGAGCGCCACCCGAGCGCTCGTCGCCTCGTGGTTAATCCAAAATGATACCCAGGATAGCATCACGATCAGTATGCTGGGCAAATACGTCTGGAACACAAAGTATCCGATGTTGCGCTGCAACTTGAAGGAGAGCGACAGCCGCTGATAGACGCCAGTGGCCAGGCGCTCCTTCCTGTCATTGGTCTCATATCCAATGATCGTAAACTGTGGCAGTTCGGCGTCCTCGACGCCGCGTACCGGCGTTGGCTTCCAGTACATGACCACATCGCTGACCGTGTAACCATCTAAGCGGAATGAAACGGGAAGAGGTGAAACAAAATGTGAAAATTATTAAACTAGTTCGATATGAAAAAGGAGGCGCATAAAGTAAAACTATATTTGATAAAACTATATTTTCAGAATATATTACCCATTTAGCTTGCACATAACTGTTAATAATTTGATTGCTTGCACTCTACTGCTGCTCACTCGCTCTCACAGTCGCTCTCGCTCTGAGCAAGAGACTTCGGTTCTTTTCGTTTTTGTTTTTCTTTGAGCGCCTTTCGTTGAACTGTTCGTGTTCGTATAGGGAGAGACACGATTGACGCTCGCACTTAGCCAATGAAGTCTCCCCATTCACATGCGGCCACACAATTCACGTACACACAACTCTCGCATACATACCAAACAACAAAAGTATTTTTGCTCCATTCAACTCAAGCAAACGGTCAAGGAGCAACCAGAGCGAAACGGGCGAGCCGATCGCGAATCTGCTCGTTAAAGAACCGATGCAATCGGTTACGCTCTGAGTGCTTTCTTTTGCCTTTGAGTGTTTTCTCACAGTTTGAGTAAAAGACACTTATGTATGTATGTATGTACATATATGCAGGCAACGAGAAACGGTCAACAAGTATTTGCGAGCTGAGCTTAAAAGAGAATGCTGCTGAGAGAATTATGAGTGAAATGTCTGTATATCTATATGTATAGCTGTATATCTGTATTTGCGAGCTATGCTTATTAACTAACTAAAAAGAAACACAATAAATTCGAAATGAGAAGGGAGCGGAACGTAAAAGAATTTAACTACAATCAAATGTGTATATTGTACAAAAGGCAAAACATTATTCGACAACTAAAGAGAAGCCAGAGTGTAATTTAACTGTCATCCAATTAGTCTATTGTTCTTATAGGAATCCGTCTGAGCGGCTATAAATCCAATTGGATACTGTTGTTCTTGATAGCAARGACTCTCTCTCTCTCTTTCACTTGATAAAACCTAAGGCAAGCTGAGGCTGTATTCAAAAGGATTTAACTACAAACTGTTGAACTATAAATAGCTACAAATCCAATTGGATTTTATATTTCTTGATAGCTGAGGCTTCTACCTCTCAGTTAACTTACAGCTCTCGATTTCCACGGTGCAGTTCTGTGAGTCCAGTGGGTAGTAGTGCAAATCCATCATGCAGGCGAGTGTAGTGGTGAAGCGCATGCCGTAGGTAACGGCGCCATCGCCACCAAGACGCACCAGCTTATTGCGCTCGGTGACGTCATGCAGAAAGCTATGTCAAGCATACACTAAGTACTTCTATATGATTTATACATATATATATATATTTGACGGACCTGTTCTTGTCGTTGGCAAAGAATGTGTCTGGCACCCAGATCTTCTCGGCAAAGTCGCCAGATAGCGTCAGCACATCATTGACCCCATCGTCGTCGGCATCGGAATCGTAGTACGGGCCGTAGATGTTGAAAGCCAGGCGCTCGTCGCGCCAATACTGATTCAAGTACATTGTTATAGTATAATCCTGTAAAGTACATTTCAATTGAAGTATGCTCCAGCTGAGGCAGTTAGCTCGGTGTGCCCGACTTACCATATTAACTTCGGAGATCGCATCAAAACTGGCTATAGTCAAATCCATGCCCACGTGCAGTGGCTCSCCACCGAAATTGGGACGCAGCCGTATATCGTATCCTTGCAATATTTTTGAGATCGTCTGCGTAACATTCTCTAAGCGGCCAGCGAGCATTTCCTTGCGCTTACATCTGCGAAGCGACGGGCACCGGAAAGGAGAAAGAGAGGGAGGGGAAGATTGATATATGTTGGCTTACAAGGATCAGTTATTCCGCTTACCGTACTACAGTTAGCTGGGCGCTTAGCACTAACAGCAGCAATAGGCTGTAACAGACGCCCAGATGGCCAAGACTCGTCATATTGGCGGCAGTTAACTGTTTGCTGTTGCTCTCCTCTCTGCGATTCTCAACTCGTTGGCATCGTCTCAGCTGATGCTTTCACTTTCATACCGGATGGCATTGCCAATCTTTTGAATTACGTTTTCTTCACTCTCACACCTCCCTCTCTCTTCCTCTCTCTCTCTCTCTCTCTCTCTCTCGCTCGTTATCGCTTTCTGCTCTTAGTGCTGCATAGTTAGTCGCGTGTTTGATAACGTTGCACAAGTGTATTTATATCTATAGTAATTGGAGAGATATTTCGAATTGATATTATGTCATTACACAAGCCAAAACTAATGCATATAACATGTGTGTTTTCTATGTGTATAACGGGAAAGACTTTCGAAGGTTTTCCTTTCTAACTGTTGTCTCAAGTCGTTCAATGCATAGAATATTCAGCAGTTTGATAAGTGTTTGTTTATATGCGCGTCCTTCAAGCTTCAAGTTCCTGTTCAAAGACACCGACCGATGCACACACCTAAATATGCACATAAATATATCTAAATTTATATATGTA